CGCGCAGCCGCCGCCGCCGCCGCCGCCGCCGCGCGAGGAGCCAGGATGGTCCTGGTCCACGTCGGCTATCTCGTGCTTCCAGTGTTTGGCTCTGTGCGAAACAGAGGTATCGCTTTTTCCTTTCGGGGTCTGCTTCGGAGCGTGGATCGCCGCAGGCACCGGGGCGGGGGCGGGCGCCGCGGGCGGCCGGGGGCTCAGGGCACACCCGCGAGGACGCAGGACGAGCGGTGACTTCTCCCCACCCCCTTCTGGGGGCACCCCCGAGTGCGGGGGTGGCCGCCCTCGTGGGAGCTTTTGTAGTGAAGTTAGGGTTTGGCGAATTTGGGTCCCTCCCTCCCTAGCCCCATTTTTTATTCTTGCGGCGGACGTGATTCCCCCAAATCACAGTCCATTCCCCTGATACCTAGCCCTGTATGATCGGAGAGAGAGATACATGATGCTGTGTGTGCGTGTGTGCGTGTGTGTGTGCGTGTGTGCGTGTGTGTGTGTGTGAGAGAGAGAGAGAGAGAGAGAGAGAGAGAGAGAGAGAATATGCTTGGCTTTCTGTGATCTGCTTTTTTTTTTTTAGGTATATGTGTGTTTTGTCTTCTCTGTGTTTTGTATTTCTTCATTTTTTGGTAATTAATGCCGATGACTGGTTAGCTGGGATTTGAGTATCTGCCCTGTCCCATGCCCCAGCCCCCACCCCCTCGTGGGCACTTGCACGATTTCCCGTCTCATCCTTTTCTTTCCTTTAACCCTTTTTGTGTATCACCCTTGTCCTATGGCCCTGTTCACCCCCACCCCCCGCAATTGTCTTTGGATGACAGTTGCATTTATGGGTTCAAGGTGCTTGGGGGTGTGTATGTGTATGTGAGTGTGTGTACATGTATGTGAGTGTGTGCGCGCGCCTTGGAGTGTCAGATGTGCGCTGCTGGGCACCCCTGGGTCCGGCCGGAGTGGGGTGCCTGGCCCTTGGGTGCTGCGCTGTGTGTGAGGATGAGGTGGGAAGCTGCCCCCACGCCAGGCCTTTGCCCCAGGCAGCGGTTGACCAAGCAGCAGGCCGGCGCGGGCTTTGTTTTTAACTGTGATATATGGGGTGTGTTTGCACGGTCCCGTTACCCTACATCCCCCTTCCCTTACATTCTGCTAAAACAATAGCTTGATTCTCCCCTCTTCTCCCCCCACCCCACATTTCTGCCATTTTCTTTTAATCAAAAATTCCCACCTCCCAAAGCAAATCCGAGATGCATTTAGATTCATTTTTTTTTTTCCTTTTTGTATTCTGCCTCTGGACTCACATTTCTCATCTTGGAAATGTTTCTTCTATCCTCTCCCACTCCACGTCTGCTTAAATCCCTGCTGGCTAAGGCCCCCCTCCCCCCAGACCCCCTCCCTCACGCACAGAATGATGTCTTCCCTCTTCCCACCAGGGCTCCTCTACAGTCAGGGTTGGGGCTGGGGTCGCCGGGCCAGCGCTTTGGCGTGCCCCAGGGGCCCGACTGGGCAAGAAAAGGAAAGCCCAGCCCCTTTTCTTCCAGCCCACCCGTCCCCTGCCCCGCGCCTCCTCCCAAACCTAAAAGGCGAGGTTAGCCCCTTAGGCCTGTTTAAACCGCAGTTTTTTTGTGTGTGATGATAGAGTGATGACATTCTGCATTTATCAAATCTTTTTTTTTCTTCATTGTGTAGCTCAGTGAATGGTCAACTCGCTGCTGTGTGCGCTGTGACCCTTCTGCCTCCGCATTTAGCTGTATTGTGACACCCCTCTTAACCATTTCCTGTCTCCATCAGAGGAAGGCATTGCTATTTAAGCGGCAGTATCCCCTATCTCAGGCCAGCTTAGCCATGGGGGTAGGGGGAATGGGTGTGTGAGGAAGAAGAAAAGGGGGACTGGGTGCGATCTCCCTGAAATGCCACCCCCTCCCCAATACGCAATTATCTCTTATTACTTGGCATTTCCTCTTAAAACGGGTGTGGAACATTACACTAGGCAGAAATTCAAAAATGATTAAGAAGGATGTTGAGCCTGAAAGTATAATTATCCTGATTAAATCATTATCATTCTCATTAATACCACCAATCTCTAAATACCATTGCAGGATGCTGATTCCATGTTTTGAAATTCAAATTGCTCAGCTGCCTTTAAATTTTATTTTTAATACTCTCCCCTTACCCACCAATCCAACAAAACAAATTCTGACTGTCAGTCAAAGTTTACTTTCATGGCAAACACGCCCACAGGAAATTGAAGGGCTGAGGGGTGAGTTGGGCTGTGGGTAAAATTTAGCACAATGTGATAAGAATTCATGACCTTCCGATAGAGGATACTAATGCTTAACTCAACAAGGTCCTAAACCACAATCTTCTTGTAAAACTATTAGATAGTCTGCCAGCTTAAATCTGTTCTTTTTAGTTTCCATTGTAGTAGTGTAGGATGTAGGCCATTTCAGAATAGATGTAGAGAAATAACCATTTTTGTATCTTCATCTTGTTTAGCCAAGTACATTGCTCTGTAAATCCCTGTTAAGTGGATTCCTTTTGCCTTGGCTTAGAGGCTGCAGCACCCCATTTTCCAGTTATATGGGTGGCCATCAGTTGGCTTCGTGGCAGCACCCAGGTATAACTGAGGATTACATTTAGTGGGAGGCAAAACATTAAATATATATATAAAGAAAATCTTTGATAAAATGACAGTTGCTGCTATTCCATAGCCTCTGAAAATTTGGTGCACTAAGGTCCCTGGCTTAAGGGGGAGCTATGGCCATAGTGTCTTAATTGTCTAATTGTACAATGTCAAGAGCATCTTTGGACATCCGCCCTGGCCCTCAGAGCTGCCCCTTTAACAGCCTGCTCCCTTCTGCTGCCTCGCCAGCCAGACCTGCTTGAAAACTGAAACAAAACAGCAGCAATAATGAAAGAATAAGGCCCCTACTTCAAGGGCCTTTCCAAAATAAAGTCCAAGTAGCTTCCCCAGACTGCTATTTGGCAATCTGAAAAGAAAGAGAAAAAAGAAAAGGAAAAAAAAAAGAAAAAAAAAGAATTCCAGCAAAATGGTTTTCCATTAAACAGGGGTAGCGTGTTCTGCTGTGCTGAATTACTTCCTGTTCTTATTTTGTGGGTAATTTTTTCTGTATCAAATATCCTTTTGGTTGTGTATCTTTTTCACCTTTTCTTGTACTAAAACTAAAGCATGGTCTGTATTTTTTTACATCCCCCAGTTGACAATGTACAGCGCTCGGTTAGAGATGTGACCCTGCTGAAACGTCCTGTGGTCGTGTAGCCCGGGCCATCTGCTCATTGTACGCTGCTTTTGTTTTGTCGCCCTTCCGAAGCATGGTGGGCCCAGCCTTTTTTTTTTGTATCGTGTGCATGATGACATTGTTACACACAGAATCCACTAATACTAATATACAATCTCTCAATAAAGAACTAGTTTTCCTATATTAACCTAGTGTGCTTTTTCTCTTGCTGTTTTCCCATTTATTGTCGTATCCTGCTGTTTAGATTTCCCCCCTTGCTTTTCTATCCCCACCCTCACCCACCCACCACCCCCACCTCCCATTGTAAGATTTGAGTGAATGCCTTTTCTTTTTACTTTTTTTTTTTTTTTTTTTT